GGGGGTGGGGGGTTGGGGCTGCTCCCAGGGTTTCCTCTCCTCCTTTGCCAGCCAATGTCCAGCCAGGCGCTGGATCAGCATTGGTGCCTTCCCATCCGGGTAGCGAGGGAGGTGTCCCAGGCGGGGCTATAAATGCCATGGCCTGACGCCGGCTCGCCTCCCGTCCTGCCCGTCCTCCGCTGTTTTGTTGGAGCTGTTGGTGAGTTGTTTTTTTTTTTCCTACGGTGCTCTGCTCCCCCTCGCCCTGCTGGCCCTCCAGATGCCGTCCAGATGTCGCCGATGGTGCGGGGCCCCCCCATCCCGCAGTGGGGTCCCCCTGCAGAGGTTTTCCCCTGGGGTTGAGCTTGAGGCTCCCGCTGCAGCGAGCCGAGCTCGAAGGCTGCATTCCTCCTTTGAGGGCTGGGAAAGCGTGTGTGCCCTTCCCTGCCTGGCTCGGGCAGGAGGGGGCTGCTGCCTCCCCCCCGTCCCCCGCGTTCTCCCCTCCGGCGTTGCTTTTCTGCAGGTTGCTCAGCACCGGTATCAGACGGCGACGCCCAGCCCGGCTGCTAGCGGGAGGGTGAAATTAGGGAGGAAATGGTGATGGATCCCAGTACATGCCCAGACATGGGGCACTGGAGCACAGTCTAGGGGCTGGGGGAGACTGTTGCCTCCCTCGTTTGGGGGTGTCTGGGGGTGCTGAACTCTGCTCTCACCTTGTGCTGTTGCTGCCTCCAGGCTCGCTGGTATCCCCCATGGCGTCTCCCCTGGAGCAGGCACTGGCTGTGACGGTCTCCACCTTCCACAAGTACTCAGGGAAGGAGGGGGACAAGTACAAGCTCAGCAAGCAGGAGCTCAAGGAGCTGCTCTTGAAGGAGCTGCCCAGCTTCAGCGTAAGTGTGGGGCAGGGGGTGCCACATCCCACGGGCGATGCTGGGACTTGGGGATGTGGCCCTTGATGTAAAACCCGATTTTAACCCCTCTCTTGCCCCTGGGCAGAGACAAACCAACGAGGCCAGCTTACAGCAGCTCATGAGCAACCTGGACTGCAACAGTGACAGCGAGGTGGATTTCCAAGAGTACGTGACCTTCTTGGCCTGCATGGCCATGATGTGCAACGACTTCTTCCAGGACTACCCCAACAAGATGCCGCACAGGAAGTGAGCACGGGACACCAGCTGCCCCCACGACCCTCCCACTCTCTTCCTGATGCTCTTTCAATAAAGCTTGCTTTAAACCAAGAAGTTGTCTGCGTGTTTTGCAGTGGGGGTTTCTTGCCCCAGGGCCAGGGCTGCTGTCACACCGGGGACGACCCCGTTTCCCTTCCACGCGTGCGTTGCAGGTTCCGGATGATGAGTGAGAGCAAGGGCGCTGCCGAGCTGGAGTTTGCGCTGCCGCAGCCTGGGCACCACGTTCCCTGAGCCCTCGTAAAC